TCAAATTTGTTTAAATAATTAGGGGTCAGGAGAACAAGACTGAAATATCAGATATTATTACAGATAATCTATCTCCAGTCAGCTCTTTGTGCTTCTGTATGTCTGCAGGAATTTGGACTGAGAATCTCTAATACATAATCAGTATGTGGAAATTAATATTTAATATTTAAATTATACTACATTAATATTTTATCTTTTAAAATACCACACTAAATGATTGAAAAGTTCACAAAAAGCACTGTTTTTTAATGATATCTTTTTAATACTTGCATAGAGTTGATTTATATGCCATCAACCAAAGAAAGTGATATTCTTAGTCCAGATTGATCTGTTATGCTGCATTGTGCTGGTTCACTAAGTCATCTTGTCTGTTAGTATCTACAGATAAAAACGGATGATACTCTTTGGAGTGGTCCATAACATGAATGATGAACAAAGATTAATTTTGATTCAGTTCAAGATTTGCTGTGTCTGGATGCAGGGGGTATTGCTCTTACATCACTGATTTTTGATCTAACGTAGCTATAAGCTCCTGCTGCTTCCTGAATCAATTCTGCTCACTTACTTTGCCGACTAATGCTTTTGAAAACGTTTTTGCTGCACCTCAGCTATTTTTACACATCTGTACTTAGATATATTTGCCCTTTGTTGTGTTATGCTCAGTTTGTTGATTGCCACAGTTCTTTTGTGGTTCTAGCCCTACCAGGAACTGTATTCTCATGCAGTTAAAAATGAGTGTAATCATTGGATATGTACTGTTACAACAGGACTGTCACTGCAGACAGTACTAATATTGGTATTATCATAAGATTGTTTGCTTGAAGAGCTAAAAGTTCTTTATCAGCCCGGTCAAGATGATACTAGCAACATTCCTGAAGGCCTTCTCTGTTTGTATGTCTTCTATTCTGTTGCTTATGCTTTCCTAGGCAGCGATTCCTTTACAGTCTGAGTTTGGTTATTAGTAAATAGACAAGTAAATAGGCAAGTGTGATTTCCTTTTCTGCATGTGAACAGGTGTTTATGTATGTCATTCAGGAAGGGTATATTTATTTTGCTCTGTATGCTTCTCTGTTGTGGCCCTCCATTTCTTAATAACTTCCCTAGATGTGATGAGTTCTCTGACTTACTAATGTGGGTCATTCTCAATGTAAGATAATACGGCCTTCTGGCTACAACTTAACTTTTAAGATTTATAGTACCTGTATTCCATTTCTCCATAGATCAGTATGCACCTTGTTTTTCATTAGAAAAATACTTTTAGTAAGGTTCTGTATTCATCATGAGAAAAAAATGGAAATCAATGATAAATTTTCTATAAACAGTCACATAATTACTTTAGAAAGATGGTATTGAGTAGGAAATAATATGTATGGGAAGCAAAATGCAGATAGTCTACTGGCTTTTTCAGAAGCTTGTTGAGGAGTTCAGACCAAACTGCCTGTATTATGTGCCTCCTTGAGGTGCGCTGAGTCTAATAGTCAAATCGTAACACGCTGTTTTTAAGATTAGTATCTTAATATCTGTGTAGTAATAAATCTATAATTTGTAATCAAACACCTTGATAGCCAACCTATCTCCAGTAATACAGTGTCAGACCACTATTTCTTCTCTTCCCTATGTTTTTCATTAATTTGTATAAAAAACCTACAGAAAGATTGATTAAATTGATTGCTTGTTGATTTCTCAACTCCTTAATTTCTAGTCTCATTCTTTAAGTATCCTTTACAAAATTCAAACAGTCAGCTGTCAGTGGAAAAAAAAAATTTCATGCCAATGTTAAGATAAACTATCTGGATTTAAAAACAAGCCTGATTCACCATAGGACTCTATTATCTTGGAAAAGTCTGAAAGAAGACATTAGCTCGAGCATATATTTTAAGATTATGACAGGTAGGACTCTGACAGTGCAGGATTTAGTGTATTTTAATAAAGACATTATAGCATCAAGACTTGCATTTGTAAACGCTGGGACTATTTGGTGAAGTGAACACAGCCCAGCTGCAGATAATTTAATCGTGTGAAGGGCCTCCTAGGTGAGACTTTAACTGTGTAAGATTTCAGTTAAATTAAAAAAAAAAATTAAAAAATCCAGAAATGGAGGAGGAATGCATTTACACTTCTGACTGGAAGAGTTTCTTCTTTATACATTATACTGTTAAACTAATAAGCATCTGTCCTCTGTATTAGGTGGAGAAGGTTAAACACATGCATTGAATGTGTTAAAATAACCATTTGGGAAGGTGCAAATAAATATACAAAAGCATGCAATCACAAGTTTAATTTAATAATTACTGTGGTTTGTACCCTCAAAGCATTAACTCATTTTTCTCTCCTAATTTTATCTTAATGTTGGATTATTTAGAAATGATCTTCAAAGAAGTAAGGACATATTTGCACCATTTTCTTTATAATGAATAAGAAGAAAATATAGTTTTAGTCTTTTAAATATACATCTGAAATTAAGCTCCTATCTATACTACAAAACTGGAAGGCTATCTAGAACTCAAATCCAATTACGGCTTAAGCACTTGAGAAAGTGAAATCTGATTTAATTACTTCTTTCGAAAGAAAATTACTCCTTTCAACTTTTTATTATTAAAACTCTGCAGTTATTTTTATCACTATAAAAAAGAACAAGCTTGGAAGAGAAGCTCTCTTCAGGGAGTTCACACTAGTCTTTGTTACTTAATACCCAAGCTGAAAATTTAAGTCCTTATACAAACTTCTGATTGTCTAGCAAATAAGCCAGAAACAAATGGTTTATAATAGATAGTATTTGTATTCTTAGATATGGGATTAGAAAAAAATAATTTTAGCATTAGAAAGAGCAAAATGGGCATGATTTTTTTATTATATTATCTTTATAAAAAGGTCATAATTATTGCTGAACATGCTTAAAAATAACAGCAGATTTTACCAAATGCAGTGAAAATATGTTGTTATGATATTAAAAAAAAGTTGGAAGTCATGAATTCACATTTCCATTTCATTTAAGAGTTCGAGAGCTGTGCTGGGAGTGAATGTAGCTTTACGTGTAGCTTTGCATTTGCAAGAGAACAAAATACAGGGACATTGCCCTTGCTACTGCTTAGATGAGATCTACAGCCTCTGACCAGTCCTCAAGTAAAAGGATTGAAAGACAAATGAAGGATTGTACCCTGTGTAAATAAGATTCAGATATTTGCTCAAATCTCATTTGCCTCCTTGAAACAGCAGTACTTCATGTGTATAGATTTGGCTTAATCTCTGGATATAAAATCAAGTATGATAACCAGTTACCTTAAGTGTCCTTATCTTAGGAAATTAGACTGAAATCTTAAAAGCTTCAAACTTCTATATTAAAACCCAAGACTGGCAGATATTTATTTTACGGAAAAAAAAAAAACCCTTGAAGATATTTCAAAATTTTAGTAATGTGTCACCCTAATGGAATAACCAGTGACAATTAATTTCTTGGTAGGCAGAATTGTAAGAGAGGCCAGAGAAGAATGCATGAAAGTGGTGTGAGGAAATGCATGTAATTTTTACTAAACTGAGATAACTTTTTGAAATTTTTATGTAAAACTCACCCAAAGATCTCTGTAAATAAACGAAATGAAAAGATGTTCTACTATGTTCTACCCTCTCCTTAAAAGCCTATCAAATATACAATGCTGGTCCAAGCAAGTATCACCCAATTAATCCCACTTGTTTTTGATGGGAAGCATGAAATACTGTGAAGACGTTTGTGAAGACTAGTAGCCTTAGTTGGGTAAAGTGCCATTTTTGTAGTATCTAAACAATTAGAAATGTTACTCAAAAATTTATTACATCTTCATTAGACACTGACTTCTTTTGGCCAATGTTATTTAACATATCTTAGTTTTAATAGAAAAATTGGATGGATAGAAGGACTAAGCAAAGGGAAATGTAACAGCGAGGAAAGGAAGTAAGCTGAAGCAGTAGAAAGCAGGAGAGAAAATATTTGTATGAAGAAATGTCTTGTGAAATATTCAGTAGAGGGTTTGATCTCCAGGTAGTATCTAACATATGTTTTTATTGACACGTATCACGTGGGTAAACTTTGAGAAGTGAGACTCCTTTACCCATATGCTGAGGTTGTGCCCAGTAATCCAAATATTCTTGGATTACTTCAAATATTATTACTAAATAATAGTAACTTTGTCAAATAACCATTTTTCTTTAAATTTGTCAGTTTCCCTCTTGAACATTTATCTAAAATAAATTCATTTTGTTTGGACTAAAGATTATTTGGCCTTGCTGCTGCTCTCTGCCTAAATCAGAAAATATGTGATAGACAACACCAGGAGCTCTTCTGCTCTTGAGGGAAGTGTCTCATCAGGAAGGACTGCTAGAGAAGAGGGCTAGGCACTTAAAATGTGAATTCTGTTTCTGACTTGGAGAGCAAAAATCCCCAGGTTAAGTAAGTGAGTTCCTAACCACATACTTTGAATTTTAATTAATAATGCTGAAGGCTTTTCCTGCTAAAAATACTTCTGTATTGATAAAGTAGGTAATTATCGCATTATAAGAATAGTTAATTATTATTTCTTTTAAAAGCATTACAATTACAACTTTGTGCAATTCATGTATATTCCAAACATATTAGTGGTTTTTTTGTTGGTGGTTTGAAGTATGTGCAAAAATTACAGATGGGGTAACATTAGCAAAAGGATGTCAACTCCCTTAGTAGTCTAATGGAGAAAATGCAGTCACTTGTTTTTGTTGCTGTCACTCAGGGGTTTTTGAAGTTAATCTGTATGAGTCACCAATCTTTTAAAGCACAGTATGCTGTTTCAGCCAAATCATGAAGGTAATACGATGCTTTAGTAGTGTTTGAACCATAAAAGGCCTTTTAGTATTTTGTTGAGATGTGTAGAGCAAATCAGATATTATTTAATTGTTGAGCAAATCAAGAGGTGTTTTACATAGCATTATGGTTATGATTATTTTTACCAGTAATTTTATAACTGTGTCCTTTGTTTGTGCTGCACGCACAGGGAGTTGGCCTCTCAGTCCATGGACATTTCCGAGTTGCTACAGAAAAGACACTTTTCGCAATGCCAGAAACAGCAATAGGTAAGTATTTTAACAGATTATTATTGCTTAACATTTCCCTTTTGTGTAATCAGGATGAAATGTCTTTGACTGAAAGTAGTGGCAGTAATGAAAGAATTTGAAAAAGGAATTGGAGATGACCATATATGGAAAATATTTTCTATTAAATTAATAGAAACTTGTGTGTGTTCTGGGAGGCTGATCATTGAGGTCCTTAACCTGGGGTTTACTGTCTAGACCGACCCAAACTCTGTCAGGATGCAATTTTTTAAAAATGGAAGCAGATCTGAGGAACTAAGTCTTTGCTACAGATGTAGGCAGATAAAGTCTGAAGATCCCAGTGCAAACATGTCAGCTTTACATTTGGAACTCAGTATGAGTCAAACTGGATGTACTTCAAGCTGATCTACAATGTTAATGAGACAGATTTTGAAATTCCAGCTTTTCTTGTAGATTATTAATGTAGACCCATTACAGTCATGTACAGATTGTGTGCAGGCGAGATGACAGCGTTGTCTTTTTTTTTTTTTTAGTAGCAACACGTACCTTGTGTTTTCTAATGTTTGATCATACAGCTTCTTTGTCAACTCTGAGATGTACAAAAGAAAATGTTGTGTCTCAGAGCTATATGAAGATGGTGGTATGGCTCAAGAAGAGTCAGTTGGATTAAAATGAACCCTTCTGTGAAATCATTCCCGTTTCCTTTCAAGAAAATCCTGGCACCAACAGGGTATCCACATTGAACCTATTATTGTCTGGCATATATCATAGAATCATAGAATGGTTTAGGTTGGAAAGGACCTTGAAGATCATAGAGTTCCAACCCCCCTGCCATGGGCAGGGACACCTCCCGCTAGACCAGGTTGCCCAGGGCCACATCCAGCCTGGCCTTGAACACCTCCAGGGATGGGGCCTCAACAACCTCTCTGGGCAACCTGTTCCAGTGCCTTACTACCCTTAAAGTGAAAAACTTCTTCCTAGTGTTTAATCTAAACCTGCCCTCTTCCAGTTTATATCCATTCCCCCTCGTCCTATCACTACATGCCCTAGTAAAAAGTCCTTCCCCAGCTCTCCTGTAGGCCCCCTTTAGGTACTGGAAGGCCGCAATAAGGTCTCCCTGGAGCCTTCTCTTCTCCAGGCTGAACAGCCCCAACTCTCATAGCAGAGGTGCTACCTGCTGGCCACACTTCTTTTGATGCAGCCCAGGATACAGTTGGCCGCCTGGGCTGCGATAGCACATTGCTGGTTCATGCTGAGCTTCTGGTCAATCAGCACACCCAGGTCCTTCTCCTCAGGGCTGCTCTCCAGCCATTCCCCACTGAGCCTGTATTTGTGCTTGGGATTGCCCCGACCCAGATGTATGACCTTGCACTTGACCTTGTTGAACTGCATGAGGTTGGCTTGGGCCCACCTCTCCAGCCTGTCCAGGTCCCTCTGGATGGCATCCCTCCCCTCCAGCATGTCTACCTTGCCAAACAGCTTGGTATCATCGGCAAACTTGCTGAGGGTGCACTCAACCAAACTGTCCATGTCTGCGACAAAGATGTTGAAAAGTACAGGTCCCAGTACTGACCCCTGAGGAACGCTACTCGTCACTGCTCTCCACTTGGACATCAAGCCGTTGACTGCAACTCTTTGAGTGTGACCGTCCAGCCAGTTCTTTATCCACAGAGTGGGCCATTTGTTGAATCCATGTCTCTTCAATTTACAGACCAGGATATCATGTGGGTATATATATACTCCATTAATGCTTGCATCAATGGCCAAGTCCCTTCTCCCTGCTTATCAAGAATGAAGAGTGCTCAAAACATATAACCTATCCTGCATTTCTCTCCTGCAAAATTTATATTTTCTACATCTTTCCAAGGCAAGGCACCTGAAGGATGATTGCAATTGTTCTTATCTTTATGTCGTCAAGCAGGAGAATGAGGCTAGTCTGTAATATGTGGCTCTGTTGAACATGTTTATTCAGAATAGAGAACCTTATCTGGTGGTTAAACATCTTAAATGGCACCAGACATGGTGCTATTAGGTTCAATCTTAGTTTCACCTCAAAGAATTAGTTGTAAGGAGTAGTGACTGTTATTTTCTTAAAAAAAATTCCAAATGGTTATGTAATGTTAAAACTAAGAAATAATGTAAAAAAAATAATCAGGACACAGTTCTGAAAAGAGAATAAAAGTTACAATACTGTGCTTTTGTTGAGAATATTTTAATTACAATAATGTCATTACAACTAAAGTTAAAATGCACACTTAGCTATCGATTGGATTTTTGTAGTGCCCTCTGTTAGTAATGCTTAAAAGGTCTAGCATTTTTCATTTTTTTAAAGATGTCTTACACATACTAGTTTATTGCTGTCCAGCCTGCATGAAACATTTCACAAGACTTATTCTGAAATTCTTAAAATATTAAATAAGCTGTGAGCGTCAAGTCAAATAAAATGTAATAAACACCCTGAATATAAACAAGCTGATTATCATTTTAATTCCTGAAAAAAATATTAGAGCAATTCGTGCTAGCTGATAAATGTCACATAATTTTTCTGAACAAGTAAGTTTGTGATGAGAAAAACTATTGCAGCCCTCCAAATATTTTTCTCTGCTGAAGGAAAACTTAGTAAACTAAATAGCTCAAGCATTAATACAACATGAATTTGCTAAAATCCTGAAGTTCGTAATCACTTTTTGTACGACAAAACTATTTGAAGGAAACATTTTTTTAAAAAACTAAACAAAGAGGTTCTATGGCATATAAAATTATTCTAATAATAAAGATACCTTCTTTACTTTCTTCTTCAAAAGTAAAGGTATGAGTAGTTTTATATTAACAAAAATTATGTACCTTACTACATTTCTTGTGTTGACAAGGACTTATTGAAACAAAAATAGACTGTGAAGACATGTAAAGGAGAAGCTTAGAACTTGCTAAGGAAAGAAAGTAATTAAAACCCTTTTAGGATCAATTAGAAGTAAAGCCACTGAAATCTGGATTTAAGGGCTTAGCTGTTTTGATCTCTGTGGTGTATGTTTAAAATGCCTAGCTGTCTAGATAGTGTATTAATTGACTTTTTCATATGTTCACTTACTTCAGTAGGCATTACACCTTTTCTGAGAAATAAAAACAAAGCGTTCATTCAGCTGCTACATTTTCACACAATTACTCTGCATTTATACACCACCATAAATAAAAGGATATAGATAGATACGCCACTTCGCAAATAGAAGTAAAAGGCAGTTCCAGGTTGTAGGAGTTCGAAACTAACATAGATAAGATAAAGGACTGGAAAGTGGCTTAGATGTAGGAGGGTGTGGAAAAAACACTGGTGAGGAGAACAAAAGATGAAAGTATATTTTAAGAGGTAGGCTTTAAGGTGATGCTATATAATAGTGGACACTTTCATGTATATCCGTCTAACTTTTTAGGTTTCTATAAGTCATTTACTAATAAATCTCCAACCACCTCTACAAGATAAGGTAGTACTACCTTTATCTTATGTTTGGCAACTGCAGAGTTTCACAATTGGGATTACAGTGAAGTGTGTTGCATCTGTCTCAGAGCACAAACTGCAAATCAGCATTACAAGCATAGGCTTTTAGCCTGGTCAGCCCAGCAGACATTTGGCTCTTCTCTTATTTAAGTAGGGATTTGAGAAATAATTGCAGAATGCTATCAAAAGGGGGGAAAAAAATCAAGTATATGCAATATGTTAAGAGAAACCCATCAGCAAGCAGAAACTATGGGAAGCATTGTTGAGAGAGTTAAGAGGAATATGTAGAACAGGGACAAGAGGAGTAAAAGTAGAAGAAGAAAGGAAGACAGGGACCTTGAAAAGGATACAGTAGAAGCTATAGTGGACTATGTTTATGCAACCAAGTAAGTTTAAAGTGGATTAGTTACACCTTCACTAATCTTGTTTGTAAATTCCTTAATAATTAAAGAAACCTTCATTCAGTTTAGTTTTACTCACCTCTAAAGCAATTTAAGCTAATCAATTTAACAGTTTATTTAGAACTAATTTCCCTGTGTATGGCCTTGTGGAAGGGCCCTTTAGATCCCAATAGGAAGATGGCTTTCCCTCTGGAAACTTACAGGAGCATGTGGAGAACAGTACTTCAGCATAGGTATATTTGTTACAGCAAAGAAGAAAAGATTGTTACCTTTGCAGTCCTGGTAGATGGGGAGAATAATGTAATTGACTTTTTGCTTTGGAGGGCATTTATAAGAGCAGATTCATTTTGAAATGAGGGATTTTATTTTTTTTTTTTGCAGTAGTAGGATAGTCAAGGGGAGACAGATGAATGGAAACATAAAACAAAATGACAATCTTGGCATCAACTTTATAGCTATGATGGCTCAAACTGAGAAGGTAAAATGCAGAGTAGACTATTCAGAATGTGAGTACAGATGAAAAAGAAAGTGATGAATTTGGGTTAATACAGCTTAGGGCTTTTAAAGGGTGCAACAAGACATTTAGCATTTTAGGAGAAGAGCTGTATGTCTCAGTAGCCTGCGGGATGAGGAATTAATAGTTAATGGCAACATACACATCAGTGGGAATGGGAATAGAGTACTACAACTATAGTGATGTAGTACATGCAGCAGAACTAAGGGAGGACCAAAAGGAAACCAGAGGAGAAGCTGAGAGATGGCTGAGAACATAGGGCAGTGATGAACTCTATAAAGATTACTGAGAAAAGGAAAACACTGAAGAGAAGTTGTCAGAAAGAAACCTCTCCTTGGTTCTGTTCAAGGGTGAGGAATATTCAGGGACCACTGATTTCCCACATCTTAAAATAACCTGTAATGGGGTCTTTATAGAATACATACATTGACTCTTGTGACTGAAAACAATTACTTGTGAGTGAAAAATTACCACCTTCTACCAGAATCCCATTTAAATTCCTTATGTGCATCTTAATCTTCCCAGTTAATATCTGTGCTTTGGCAGGTGTTTTCTGAGTTTCTTACTGCTCATTTGTATTCTCTTTCATTTATTTTCATATTTCATTTATTCTCTCAATGTGGAAAAAACACCACCATACCTTTAGTTTCTTCAAAAGACTTTCAATTTCATGGATGCACCATTGGTGATTATTTCAAAGTAGTAACTGGACACTGCTTCTTTTCATTTTGATTTCTGAGATTGATACAGCTATGCTTAAGTTTTCTTAAGTTTAAGTGTGCTAAAAGTTACAAAAGGTGTTTGAATTTATTTTGTAGGTAACAAATGTATATAACAGAATAAGGTAGATATTGACAAAGTGATGATTTTAAATATTTAAACTTTGATAAAAGTAGTTATATATTTTTCAATTACAACTTTTTGAAGTATTTTAAATTTTATGCACAGCTTTGAATTTTAAAAAAATACCCTACTCTGTAGATTAAAAAAAATAAGCATAAGACAGTCACTAAACTGTACAGTTTTATAATTTTTTTAAATTGCAGGTTAGTCATAGTCCTGTCAAAGAGCTAGGTATTAGGTCAGCATCTCGTGCCTCCCCCTACAGGAAGACCCTGACAATACTGTTGATCTATCAACAAATTCTCAGCCCAAAAATTTGTCCAAACTTAGATGTGCAAGAGGCACTTCTTCATTGTTTGATTTTTTTTGGTAATAAAAGATTTCAGAGAAGGAGCAGCATCCAGTTTGAGTTTGCACAAATTATTTCACGATTCTTTGTGTCACTTCTGGTTTTTGCTGAGAGCACGCTTGATTCTTCGGGCATCTAAAAGTGTCTCAAGGTGTTGGCAAATAGAATGAACGCTATTGTCTAGTGTATGTTTGTAAATTTTGTGCCAGTGGAAAGGATACAGTTTGGAAGGTGTTCAAGAGTTGCTTTTAGGAAGGGTTTTGATGACAGAGAAATGTCAAACCAAGTCAAGGAGACACAGGCAAGAAAGCTGTGCCTAAGTCAGGGAGATGAAACTGAGACAAGAAGAAATAGCTACTAAGTTACGGGCATGATTAGGACAAGTTCTTTTCCTTTCATGTTTTTGTTTTTTGTTTATTACAGGCCTTTTTCCTGATGTAGGTGGAGGATATTTCTTGCCAAGACTGTCGGGAAAGATTGGCTATTACCTTGCGCTAACAGGATTTAGGCTGAAAGGAAGAGATGTACTAAAAGCTGGCATCGCAACACATTTTGTAGAATCCGAAAAGGTAAGCTGCTAACCAGTGCTAGCAAGGGCACAGCCTACAATGGTAATGACAAATTTGAGTTGTGTAGCACACCAAGATACTTTTACCAGCTTGAGTGTATGCAGAGGCGCAATTATATTAGCTGGCCGTACACTGTGAATGGGGATTGTAAGATACTGTCAAGCTGTCATTATAACACTTGCCACCTAGTGACAGCTTTGCTTGGAAGAGGGAGCAAATGTTGCTGTCTTCATGGTTCTGCTGTTGAAGGGCATGATTTACAGAGCACAACTGAAGTTGCTTGAAAAATTGTACAATTTAGACAACAGTGCCTGAAATCAGAGATTATTTGTACAACTGCAAAGTTTTTAATCTAGGTAACACCCCATGAATGTGTTCTTTATCAGTCTCCTTAACAGATATCCTATTTGTTTCTCTCAGTGGCTGCAGGAAAGTGTAAAAATTAGTATATTTGATAAAGTCAGAGTCATAATGGTCCTGTAACTTGCACAGGAGTGAAGGAAAAACAATGACTTGCTTTCCTTCTCCATGTAAAGACCCATGACTGGCATTGTGGAGCTGGTTAGATACAGTGTTGAGCATAGCATGGTTGCCAGGCTCCTGTTCTTTCCTCTCAGAGTGTTGTAGGCTGGCTTTACCTGCTGCAGCTGTGGCACTGCACTGGGGATCTGCTTGGGAATCAGAGTTCTTCGCTGATCACTGCAGACGTAATTAAATCCAGATGGTTCAACACTGAAAAGCGACCTCTGGCTCCTTGTATTGTTTACTTGGTACCTCTTCAATATCTGTCCGAAAATTTATATACATATGTACTCTACAGTACTATTACCATAGCAGTAACAATCCAAGAAGTACATTTTGTTTTATTTACTTGTTATTAAATCTAATTTTTGATAGATACCTGCCTTAGAGAAAGACCTGATAGCACTGAAATCTCCTTCAACAGAAAATATTGCAGACTTATTGAACTCTTACCACGTGAAGGTAAGCTGATAAGTTACTGAAATCAAGCAGAATTGTTAAATATATGTAAAAACAAATTCTTTTTTATCCATGCTACTGATCATTTATTTTATGGTTAAAAATAATGTGTTTCCAAACTCTTTGCACTCTAGAAAATACTAATTTGTAGCACTAAGAGCTACATTGGTCAAAATTAAAATTTAAAAGTCTTTCTTCACTTTTTATTCACTTTAGATAACCCTCAAATTGCTTTTGTGATCAGCTCTCTCTCTCTTTCTATGTGTATGTAAATTTCCAGCCAGTAGCATGATCATGCAGAAAATATACTGCTGCTTAATTTCTTACCTGTTATTTTTGGATTTCTAGGACACTTTGCAGAAGGCAAAATAGATAGCCACTAGCAGACTGGGAGTTGTACATGATTGCAAGTGTAATCTGGGCCATTAGCGTGAAATTCAGGGATTCTGGCAAACACATGCAACACGGGTAATACTACCGGCCTAGTCCAGAGGCTGCAGTTATAGTTACAGTGCCAGTTATTAAATTCTGCGCAGCTCACTTGGAAGTGGATGTTATATTTCCATCCCAGAAACTTTCTCTTTATTGACTCGAAGAAATATTTTGCTAGCTTGATGCATTTGATGTAAATTGTACTGTTACTTTGATGCAGACCATCTGCAGTCCAGATCTGAACCCTGAATTTAAAGACTTGAGTTGTTCCTTTAATTTCTCAAATATTTTATATGTTTGTAACCTTGAGGTAATTGAAATGCTGTGAATAACCA